ACGAGGTCTCGCCAAGTTGCCCAGGCGGGTCTCGAACCCGTGGGCTCAGGCCATCCACTCACCTCAGCCTCCCAAAGCGCTGGGATTACGGGCTGAGTCGCCGAGCCTGGCTGATTTTTTAATTTTGAGTTAGGGTCTTGCTCTGTCCGCGAAGGATGGAGTGCAGTGGCATGCTCACAGCTCACTGCAGCCTGAACCCTCCGGGTTCAAGCGATCCTTCTGCTGCAGCCTCCCGATTAGCTGGGACTACAGGCACGCGTAACCATGCCCGGCCATTTTTTTTTTTTTTTTTATTGTAGAGACAGGGTTTCACTGTGTTGCTCAGGTTGGTCTCAAACTCCTGGACTCAAGTGGTCCTCTCGTCTTGACCTCCCAAAGTGCTGGAATCACAGGCGCAAGCCATCCCTAGGTATTTCACATGTAAATTAATGAAGCAGCCAGACAGGGTGGCTCACACCTGTAATCTCAGCTCTTTGGGAGGCTGAGGAGAGAGAACTGCCTGAGCCCAGGGGTTCGAGACCAGTCTGGGCAACTTGGCGTAGACCTCATCTCTACAATAAATCAAAAAGTTAGCCGGGTGTGGTGGCACAAACCTGTGATTACAGCTACTCAGGAGGCTGAGGTGGAGGAATCGCCTGAACCCAGCAGGTCGAGGCTGCAGTGGCCATGAGCGTGCCACTGCCCTGCAGCCTGGTCAACAGACTGAGTCTCTGATTCAAAAAAATAAAAATAAACATAGGCCAGGCGCAGTGGCTCACGCCTATAATCCCAGCACTGTGGGAGGCGGAGGCGAGAGGATTGCCTGAGGCCACGGGTTCGAGACCAGCTCAGGCAAGTTGGTGAGACCTCATCTCTACAATAAATAAAAAAAATTAGCTCGAACACTGAGCTCAGGTGATCCAATTCTCTCACCTCGGCCTCCCAGAGTGCTGGGATTATAGGCGTGAGCCACTGCACCTGGCCTGTGGCGCTTTGTTATCACAGCCCTAGGAAATCAACACAGATGGTATATTCTGCAGCCTTATTTTTTTTTTTTTTTTTTTTTT